TTAACTATATACAGCTTGTTTTGTGCACCAGTTCTTTCTTCCGACTTTCCACAGAAATGTTCGTATTGACGCAAAATCCCGTAGAAATTTGTGCTATATATTAAATTTACTTTCGACGAAGCATAAAAAATTATTATTCTGCATATATTAATATACATTCTCCTACAAAGAAAAACAAAATCAAATGAGTGTATTAATGTTCTATCTGAGGCGTATAATATTTCTAAAATATAATGTATTGATCTGAATCAATCAGCAACTGAGTCATATAATCTGAAAGACAAATATTACAAATGATTATTTGTTGATCATTTTATCTTTTGAAAATCAATGCTTAAAGATATATATATTTACAATTCAATCACTAAGTGAAATCAGTTTATATGGATATTTAGTTTATGCGTCACAAGCAAATAGTCTACAGCATTTCGGAGTATACTTGCTTCGTCAATACATTTAGTTACTTTCTAGGCTTCTTATGACACGACTATACGTCATGAACCTGGATAAGCAAAACGGAAGTCGCTTTGTATTTTATACAAATTAATAAATATTACTAATATTTGTTGTGAGCATTCATTTGTACATAATTCTCTTTCATTGATTTCATATAAATAGGATATAAAATTTACAGATGAATTCAATTTCCAAGAAACTTCTACAAATAACATAGACGACCAATCATAATACTCCAATAAAGCAATTAATTGATTTTAGAAGATTAAATGTAAGTTTCGTGTTGATATTTATTTATAGTTTTTAATATAAACATTTGAATGAATATAGAATGTTAAAACTGTTATTTATCATATCGATACCAGCTATTGCAGCAAAAGATCTTCCAGGATTAGATTATCTAGCATCAGGTTTTGATGCTCTCAAGATGATTAGTAATAATGAAGAAATTTCATCATCAGATCGTTCAAAATTTCGACTCTTTGATTTACGTGAACGTGATGGGGAAGAATATATTTTAGAAACAATAAATAAAACTCAGACATTTAATACGCCAAGTGTTGTTCAAGTTACTACTGTTAATATGAGAACTCGTAGTAGTGTTGAATCTGTTTCATACACATATGAAGAGTTTTTTCGAAGGTAATTATTAATATGAAGTAATTAGATGAAATAGTTGTCTTTTCTTTTCAGTTATTTTCACTCATATTCATTTGAAGTTGGAATACATCTGCCACTGACAGAAGTGTCAATTGGCTACCATAAAACACTGAAAAACGCTTATCAATCAATCAAGAACAGTCAAACAGCCATCGGAATGTCAACAGATTGGTGGGGAATGTTTTCGGTTCAATTGGCACCATCCTATATCTTGAAGTAAGTCTACAGAATTGTGATTGAGATCATCAACTCTTGGAAGCTGATAAAAATCTTGAGTGACGGAAGTGTGATAAGATCTAGAAGAATTGATACACAGTGTAAAGACATAAAATAAGTTATGATAAATCTTTTATAAGATAGTCATTAATTTAGACAGATGTTCGACAAAATTTGCGGTGAGTTGAATAGTAACATAAAGTATCTATCTGTTCCTGTTTGTGAATAAAGATCTCTCGGTAATTAACTGTTATCATTAACCGAAAACGGGACTCAATAACGTGACAACGGCAACAATTAGCGACCTGTTGTTTTCAATAAACAAAAGAGAAGTTTGGATGTTCTTTTTTCTTCCAATAATCCTTTTCGAAACTGATCATCTCCGAAAAACATTCGAAAAAATGGATTAAAATCTTCTATATATATAATGTTCAGTGTCTGTCTGTCTGTTTCTCTGTGCCGGATCAAAGGTCAAGGGTGAAACGTCAAAGGTTAAAGGTCACATCAGGCTATAAGGGAAGATCTCTAGGGACATTATATGGGGTACTTATAGGTTTCCAATGGCTATCCTATGGGGTACCCATAGGTTCTCAAGGGCTATCCTATGGGGGTACCCATAGGTTCTCAAGGGCTATAATATGGGGCTACCATAGGTGCTCAAGGGCTATCCTATGGGGGTACCCATAGGTCTCCAAGGCGTATTATATGGGGGTACCTATGGGTCCCCAAGGGCTATTATGTGGGGTACTCATAGGTCCTTAAGGGCTATCCCATGAGAGTACCTATATGTCCTCAATGGCTATAATACTGGGGTACCCATAGGTCTCCAAGGCCTATTATATGGGAATATCTATGGGTCTCCAAGGGCTATCATGTTGGGGTACCTATAGGTCCTCAAGGGCTATAATATGGGGGTACCATAGGTTCTCAAGGGCTATTCTATGGTGGTATCCATAGATCTCGGAGGGCTATTATACTGTGATACGCATAGGCCCTGAAGGGAGTAAGGCAATAGGGAGATAAGGCTACAAGGAATATGAGGCTATAAGGCCGAATGCCGTATGGACTATAAAAATATGTGCGATATGAGAGTATGAGGTCGTAGGGCAACCTATCTATATACATAATATCGAGTGTCTGTATGTATTTTACCGGATGAAAAGTTAAATGTCTGAGGTCATACATTAAAGGAGAAAACAGCCGTGCAATATGCACGGGTTCTCGCTAGTAATCTTTAATTCCAACAAGATTTTAATTTTGATATATAATTTCGATGGAACATCTTCAAATCCATTGTTCCAGACAATGCAAATGGGTGACCGGACAGATCGTCGCAGGCGTAGTGTACAGTAAGGATGAGGTGAAGTGTTGGTGAAAGTACGTCGAGTATTCACATCCCACGTAGATGTACTTCCTAATATCAAAGGTTTATCAGCAGTTCGTTTTGAATCCTAAAATGAGCTGCTACGTTTTATTCATGCGACGATTTGTCCTAGTGCCATCTACAGATAATAGTTCATCACTTTGTTTTATTCTTAGTTTTGATCCAATATTTAGTCGAAGTTTATCAAAGTTAATTGCTAATCCAACAACGGATACTCAACAAATGTATTATAATCAAATTATATCAACATTCGGCACTCATTATATCTCATCAATTGTTATTGGTGGTGTTGTTGAAATGTTTACTCAAGTCAGCAGCAAATATCAAGAATATTATAATAAAAAATCGATTGAAAAACAAATGAGTATTGGTTTCGAATATCAACAAGCTCAGATGTCGGCTTCTTACAATCGCAGTTTTCAAGTTAGTGTTACTACTGAAGAGTTTAAAAAAAATACTGAAATAGAGGTGAAATTCTCACCATCTGTAATGACAACACCTACAACAAAACATAAACAATGGGATATTTGGTTAGATCGAGCTTCTTCTACACCAGTTGTTATTAATCGAACTCTATCACCATTAACCAATCTATTGAATGAGTATCCAATTGAAATTCGACGACATTTGAATTTAACTATTGATTATTATCTAAGAAATGGTAAACTTCCAACTATTGATCAGCTGCCGAGTGTTGATCTACGTAAAAAACGTTCAATCAATAATCAAAATATCTTGCCAGGTTTAGATGTTGTTGGATGTGGCTATGATATTTTTTCGTTAAAAAGTAAATCTTGCCTCTTGGAAAGAACCATGAATGACAATACAACATGGATTGATGTATATGATAATTTTACGACATACAAAGTTCCAGATGGATTTTTTGTGATTAGTACAAAAGATATGTTATCAATGTCGGATACGTTATTTTTTAGTTCATTGAAAGAATTCGTCAGTGAGTCATATATAACGAATGAAAAGGATTCATTTGGTTTCTTGGGATTTGGAGCATATAGTGACAAAGAAGAAATGAGAACTAGATATCAACGATTTTATCAGCACAAGTATCGAATGGCATGGACAAAACAACAAGTAATTTGGTTTACACTAGCTGTAGCAACATTTCCAGCACCAAAACTTAGTCGAATTGCTAACTTGGCTATTGTTGGTTTACCAACAACATTCGATGCAAATTCAACTAGTTATGAAAAATTTCAGCAATTTTTTGATGCATATGGTACTCATATTGTCGTTCGATCCGATATTGGTGGTATGCTATGGGCTGAAGACTATTTTGAATCATGTTTAATTACTAAACTGACAGAACAATGGATTCGACGAGAGATTATCAAACGATACTGGTTTTTTGGTACAACTCGAGCGATTACTGAAACTAATCATAAAGAAGTTAGTAAAGAATACCAAGAAAATTCTTTATTTCAAATGAAAATTATCGGTGGTCTCCCTTCAATAGTTCCATTAACCGGCTATAATTGGATTCCAACAATTAAAGACAATCCGAGTCCAATCACATATCAATTGCAACCAATCTATACACTTTTGCCACAAGGTACACAGCGTGAGGCATTGAAACAAGCAACATTTTACTTACGATCGACTATGGCTAATACATCGAACATATACATTCAACGATTAGAATCTGAGAGAAGTTCACTACCTTTACCACAATTACAATGTACTGAACGACGTCGACGAAGAAAACGTCTTGCCAACACAAATCCCTTTTCATTGGATTTGACAAATGCACGAAAGAAATTATGTTCAATCATTGGCTCGTAGCTTCTTAAAAGTGATACTTTTTAATTAAAGATTTCGCTATTTAAAGAAAACTTTGGCTATTTAAAAGCTTTGATACTGGTTTTTTCATAGTTAGCTAGCAATTCAAACAAAACAACAGTGATACTCAATTATTTAAATAGCTGCGTGGCTCATTGTTTTGCGTTCTGGTTTTTTTGAATTCATCCTCACATCAACTAAGCAACCCTCTACTCGTGGTTTATTTTGTTTTTTTCGAAATAAAAGATATTAGATGATAAAAAGATAAAATAAAAAAAACGAATTCATCCTCACATCAACCCAACAATCCTCTGCTCGTGATTTATTTTTTTTTTTTGAAGTAAAAGATATTAGATGATAAAAAGATGAAATAATAAGAAAGAATCCATCCTGTTATCAACCAAACACAAACCTCTGATCGTAGTTTATTTTGCTTTTTTTATTACAGTAAAACATATTAGATGATGAAAAGATGAAATAAGGAAAAAACGAATTCATCCTCATATCAACGAAACAAACCCTGTTCTGAAGAATCAGCAAGGTAGGATGAATATTTGAGCAAAATATCTACTAGTGATGATAACGTAGTATTCTTTTTGATGCTTATAAGAATAAACATATAATTGTCAGTATTTTTTATTGTTCGAAATCGCAGACTCTGATTTAGGTTTTTTTCTTTTCTATCGCAATTTTAAATAGTTGCAAGATATTTAGATAGCAATGATAGGATAAAATAGGCAAATGAATAATTAAATTGCTATGCAAATCATTAAATAGCTACAAAATCTTTAGAAAGCTATGATAGGATTAAATAGCCAAATGAATGATTAAATAGCTATGTAAATCATTAGATAGCTATAGCAACTTTAAATAGCTACAAGATCTTTAGATAGCTATAATAAGATTAAATAGGCAAGTAAATGATTAAATTGCTATGCAAATAATTAAATAGCTATAGCAACTTCAAAATAGCTACAAGATCGTTAGATAGCTATAATAGCATTAAATAGCTATACAAATCTTTAAATAGCTATCGCAAGTTTAAATAGCTGCAAGATCATTAGACAGCTACGATAGGATTAAATAGCCATGCAAATCATTCAATAGCTGTGCAAATCTTTAAATAGTTGTAGCAAGTTTAAATAGCTGCAAGATCTTTAGATAGCTATGATAGCATTAAATAGCTATGCAAATCTTTAAATAGGTATAGCAAGTTTAAATAGCTGCAAGATCATTAGATAGCTACGATAGGATTAAATAGCCATGCAAATCATTAAATAGCTGTGCAAATCTTTAAGTAGTTGTAGCAAGTTTAAATAGCTGCAAGATCTTTAAATAGCTATGATAGCATTAAATAGTCAAGTCAAAGATAAAATAGCTATGCAAATCATTAAATAGCTATAGCAACTTTAAATAGCTACAAGATCTTTAGATAGCTATGATAGCATTAAATAGCCATGTAAATGATTAAATAGTTGTGCAAGTCATTAGATAGCTAAAGCAATTTTAAATAGCTATAGGATCTTTAAATAGCTGTGATAAGATTAAATAGCCATAGCAACTTTAAATAGCTAGAAGATCTCTAGATAGCTATGATAAGTTTAAATAGCCATGTAAAAGACTAAATAGCTATACACATGATTGAATAGCTATGGAAGCCTTTAAATAGCTATGGCACGTTTAAATAGCGAGAAGATCTTTAGGTCACTATGACAGTATTAAATAGCTATGACAATGATTAGTAGTTAGACTAGGAAATCATTGAACAAGTTTGTCTTCGAAGTCATTTGATGCTAATTATACACAAAAAGAAATTGTATCTCTTTTGAGAATGAACACATTGGCTATCATGGTATATTTTGTTCTGATGATATAACTGCTAACTCTTCTAATGGAACATTGAATTTTGCAAGATTACAGCAATCCCTATCAGTACTTCCTCTACCACTAAGTGTCGGAATGGCTATTGATATGAATACAGGAGATATTCTCCTTCCAGCATTGTCCCTAACTCAAGGTACTTCGACATGGCAAGATCGAGAATCTGGTCAGATATTTCTAATATCTAATGAAGTTATAATCACCAATCCGCCAGCCAATGATAATAATGTTAGTATAAATATTTTTCCGACAGAAAATGATTTAGTACAAGTGTGGTTGAATAATTACAAAATTGGTCAGTGGTCTGGTGGAGAATTTGCACGAAGAAAGGATGTATCAGATGTTTACGATAAATTTTTTAAAGATGGTCAAGCAACAGCAATTTCACAAGAGTACAAAGTACTGTACACGATATCAATGAAATCAGCAAATAATTCAAAAGCTCTTGTTCTAAATGAATATGCTCGAGCTGCTATTGCTGCATTGACAATAAATTACGATGATATATTATATAACAATTTTATAGACGCTTCGGGAACACATATTACTGTATCGAACAAAGTTGGTGGTATGATAGAACAACAAGTTATCTTCAAAAATTGTATGATAAATACTACTAATCTTACAGATGGAATTAAACAATCTGCTTTGGAAAGAAATCTAAAACGAGAACTATTATCACGACAACCATGTATTGATCATTTCTATTGGCTTCGTCGTAGGAAACTTCTAGATCATCGTATTGGTGGTAATGTTTTGTTAGTAAATAACACTGACGAATGGAAGAAAACGATAGTTTTGAATCCAGCTTTATTATCAATCTCAAAATATATTCCATGGTATGATGTAGTTACAAATACAAATATTCAAAATAATTTACGACGAGCAATAGAAAATCGTATCACTTTAATAAATACTATTCGTCAAGAACAAGTACGAAAGATTCAAGAAGAACGAGCTAATATGTCATTGTCAGCACAAGTAGTATATGGCTATTTGATGAGAGAGAAAGTCAATGGTACAACAACTCCATTAGGTCCGAACACCAAAGGCAAAGATTGGATGGAAATTAAGCAATATTCGTTTAGTGAAAATATGGCATTAGCTAGTTCTCAAGAATGTCCAACGGGCATCGAATCCAACTTACAGCTGGCTCTATCATGCAGTGCTGGAGAGAGAAAAATGGGAGCTTGTGCAATAAAAATTACTAACAGGTAACTTCGAGTTATGTTCACATGAAACACCAAGATAAAACTGCTGTTATGTTTTTAGCGATGGAATGGATACTGTAGAAGTAACTAGGGAAGTTCCTATCGCTTATGAGCGAAATCATACAACAGGTAGTTTCCGTATTGTTGCTCGTCGACAATATGGTAAAATGGTTTACGGTAATCCCGAAATGCGATATATAATTTAGTTATATTAGGCATTTCTCATATTGATAATTAATTCTTTGTTTTTATATTAGACTATGATGTTGAAGGTAATTGGGTAGATGTCGGATGCTCTGAGATCAATAATAAATGTCTCAATTATTCAACAGCATATAACACGACTGCTGATATCAAGACCGTCTATCTTTGTTCTGGTTGCGATGTAAGATGTACTGATGCCGAGAAAAAACAATGTAGTTGTTATTGTCCGATTTACAAACGAGATCCCGATGATGTGTTTGAGCCATATTGCGGTCGATCAGATTAGTAAAATATACTTAATTTTTTTTTCTCTTTCTTTAAAAATAAACAAAACGAAAAAATATAGTAGGAAGAAAATCTGCTCAAAGATGAACGGATCATTTATATCTACATTCGAGTAACAGACATCTGGTTTTTTTTTTTAAAAGAAAAGAAAAAGCTAACTTTGTAAAGATGAAACGAGGATACAGTGACTGATCTGTGTTCTGTAACAATTAAGTCAATTCTTATTGTGTAAAAGAAAAAATAAATATTTATTTCTCTATTTCTTACATATTTAACATCGAAATATTTCGAACGAGAAAATACTTTGGTTCTATCAACACTACTCATAATCAATTTCCTAAATGTAAAAAAATAATACCACGATTGCATTTTTGATCCTGCTAGAGATCTAATTTGACTTATTCAAAAAAAGAATTTAATGAAAACTTTTAAAATGATAAAATTCCAAAGTATGTTTATTTATTTCTGTTTATAATCATAGTTCATATATTCATTGGAATTGTAATCTTTTCCAAATACTCTACTTAAATGTTTGATAAGAAATGTGCGAATTTGTGGTATATATCGTTCAAATTCTCATCTTTAACTCCTTTTCTGCTAACGTAGTGACAAATAAGTTCTGGATCAATGTTCAATTGATCTTTGGCTAATTCTTCCATTTCAGTTTTAAAAGAAGATTCTGTCATCGAATTAGTATGGGTAACAATAACCACAATGAGCTCGAAATTCCTGTCATTGTTAGCTATATAAGTTGTTGCTAGATTATCTGGTTGATGATCAACAATGGAATCCTTATTCTTCATTGAATTTTCAGTAATTATCATTGGCGATTGCAATCGATGAATTAACTTCGGCGCCACAGCATAATCTGTACTTGCTCGTAGTATAATAATATAAAATGAACTACATTATGGAATAATAATTAGTTAGTTGACTCATCGTTTTTCCAAGATCCGTGATAGCGAGAAAATCGAGTACATGTACTTTGTTATATTTTTTTGAGCATGCTGCAGAGTATGAATGTGTAATTGGTTAGTTCTACTATGAATATTATCAGTAGTTTCTGTCGGTAATTCCATAATGATTTCAAAAGACTTGATTGTTCCTCATCATCTGTCCCAATAAATGAAATATAAATGTGTTCAGTCATGTACAGGGTGTCCCAAAAGTCCTGCGGAAAAGTAAATGCAAATAATTTTTACGAATCTCAACTAATTTGATTTACTTTTTCTACAGCGTGGTAGAGGCTCCTTCAAAGTTTTATTTTGTATAAATGAGTTCTCAATAGGTCTTTGAAATGATCACCGTTTACAGAAATATACAAGTTCATCCTTTTTAAAGTATTCGAGAAAACATTGGAGAATGTGTTCTTGGAAATCGTTCTTATTTCATGATCGATTCACTCTTTCAAATCAGACATATCGTTCACCGAAATTTTGTAGACTTGGTTCTTCACGTGCCCCCATAGAAAAAAATCGAGGGAGGGTCAAGTCAGATGATCGTGGAGCCCACCTGACAGGATCATCCCTTCCTATCCATCGATTGGGAATTTTTTCATCTAAAAATTGCCATACGTCACTAGAAAAATGAGGCGGCGCACCATCTTGTTGCAAAATGATTGAGGGCATCTTCTTACTTCTGGTATAAAGAAGGATTTTAGCATCGCCAAACAATTCTCTCCATTGACGGTATCGTCCTCAAAGAAGAAAGATCCGATTAGCCAGTTTTTGGAAAGTGCACACCAAACATTCAGCTTCGTGAGTTCATAACAGTTTCTATTGTTGCATAAGGATTCGTTTCGGATCAATATCTGATGTTATGTTTATTTACAAACCCGTTTAAATGGAAGGTCACTTCATCCGAAAAAAAACACATTCTCTTGGATTGTGCTGTCTTCTAACATTGATATCAATATTCGACACATCTTCACCCAATGTTGTCAATCTTCTTCGTAAAGTTGTTGCACGAACTGGGCCTTATATGGCTTGAACAAGAGGTGTTCAGTCATGATTGGATGGGCAGTCGTTCATGAGATAGAACAAGCTGTTGCAACAGTTCGAACGTTTGGATTCGGTTGAGTTGCGCAAACATCACGAACTTCGTCGGCTTTTTCTTCGGTAATTTTCGACGGTCTTCCAGAACGCTGGCAATCTTTGACCGTGCCAGTTTCACAGAAACGTTGAAATGTTCTTATAATAGTATCTTCACTGGATGTATTTTGACCGAATTCGGCTTGTAACGTTCGTTTGACCATGATATATGACTCGAATTTGGCCATTAGTAGAACTATTTTGATTCTTATGTGGGTGTGTGGTGTGGGTGTGGATGTGGGTGTGGGTGGGTGTGTGGGTGTGGGTGTGGGGTATGGGTGTGAGTGTGAATGTGGGTGTGGGGTATGGGTGTGGGTGTGAATGTGTGTGTGAGTGTGGGTGTAGGTGTGGATGGGTGAATGTATGAGTGTTAGTATCTTTTGCATGCACACCACACACTCACACGATACCCACACGACACACCCACATCCACACGATACCCACACGACACACACACCACAGCCCACAAAACACTCATACCCACACTCACACCTCACCCACACCCACCCACGCTCACACTCCACCACACGCTCGCATCCACACCCCACCAGACACGCACACCCAACTGCTCGACTATCTATTGCTAGAAAAAATTTGGACGAATGCAACAAACATATTTCAGTATGTTGCACAAAATAATGCTGCAGCTTTTCGAGATCTAACCCGAATGGAATTCGATTTGGTAGTGAAGAGAGCATTAGAAATTTGTTTGAAATGAATTGTTGGTCGTCAACTTGGCTTCATCTATTAGGAATACAAGGTTAATGAAGTGTTTCTTCAGTCATCTCTGTTTACTTTTTTTTCGATCGTATGTTAGTAAAACGAAAAAACAGCTTTATGTATGGTATCTTTTTTTCAAGAAAAGAAAAGAGATGAAACAACAACGAAGCCGAGTTTGAGAGTAACCCTCTTCTTAGTGGTAATGAATTCATTCAATCATTTTTTAGGTTTTATCATTTTGTTGGTAATACTGTTTTGAAGACAGTGACCACCGTTCGTGAGTATTTTTCAAAGCACGCGATACCTTTTTATTGATTTGAATATCTTGCAACAGTTTAAAAAAAAATATTAAGCAATAAAATGATACGTAGCGCAGTCGAGTCCATCAGCAACAGTCTGACACAAGTTTTCCAGTCAAATCTGTATGCCCTAATGAATAAAACAGAAGTAAATAAGGATAAGTCAATAAGAGTTGTACAGAAGGTATGCGGCTATCTGTTCTACTAATAATTTATCGAGAAAACATTAAAGGCACTACCGATATGTTCAGGCTTTAGGCTAACAGGGTGTGAGGTGTGGGTTGTGGGTGTGGATGTCAGTAATCACGAAATCCATATCCACATCGACACCCACATCCACATCCCCGTCTACACGCCACACCCGCACCTTATACCCACACATCCACACCCCAAAAATTCGATATATCTGTGAATCGATGGGGATGTGTGGGTGGACAGATAAACTGCATTCACACTCATTCTCACACCCACACCCGTACCCATACGTAACACGCACACCCACACCCTACTTATGGAAATGTTAATACAATTTGAATTTCAAAATAAGAAAAAATGACAAGATTAAATCATATAAACCAAAAACTCATGCATTTTCATATTTTCTACAAAAATCTTTGTTCTTTTGAGGTGGGTGCGTGGGTGTTGATGTGACTGTGGATGGTGGTGCGTGTGTGTGAGAGGAAGGGGGTGGGTGTGGATGTAATTTCAAGGCTATCAATATCCATACCCACACCTTTTCTTGGAGTGAGTGTTAGTACTATTGGCTTACGATGTTTGGGTAAACGGATGCTTGCAATCATGCTTAAGGTTGTGATAGATGTGTGTGAGTGATTGTAAGAATGTGAACAATATTTTCTACGTTGGTTGAATGGATGAACTACACATCCAGATCAACTTAAATCCTAATTGATATAGTCACCAGTACGCAGGTCAACATTCGTATTTATACTCATGTTGACAAAATCTCGTATCGAAGTGATTTGATTTGATTTTCCAATAGATAACATATTCTAAGCTACAAATTCATAACATTAATTTTCGTTGAAGTATCACTTCAATAGTGAGGATCCGACTGTTGAAGTCTTTTACTCATCAGTCATGTTCTTAATTCTATCTGTTTGAAATTTAGATATTCTCCTTAATTGTGCTGATGCTCTGCATCGAAAGTACCAGATAATAAAGTGGTACATGAGAAAATTTATTACGATGATTCGTAGTAATATTGCCACTTATTCTTACTATTAAGTAGAAGAACATCATATAGTAATAATAATAATCATGTATGCTTTATTTTAAGAATAAGAAACAAATTTATATGTGCACTCAAGAGTTACTCGTATATCGTTGCAGTCTGTTATACTTCATTTGAAGGAGAATTGTTCGTTTGTTTATTAATTAAGCTCGTCATAATTGATTCAATACTACTTTGTTCAAATTCATTCTGTAGTTTTTCTAATTGATCACTAAATGTTTGTGATGAATCAGTCGATAATAGTCCCAAGAGATTATCGATTTTTGTCAAATCTGGACGTTGTCCATTGAATTTGAACTAAGCACAAAACAAATAAAAATAATAAATACGTACATTCAATCATTCGTGTAACTTACTTGAATTACATCTGGTACATTCGCATTTAGAAATTCTGTATACATTTGACCCTGATCATGTTGATTATCAAGGAAGGAAATAAATACTAATTTAGCTGGATAAACTTCTGAACGATATTTCATAAACAAATTAAAGAATCGTGTTGGTGTGCCATCAGCCGTATGAACATCTGTATTTTCTATCTCATCTGTTACCATAATAAATGTTTTAATAATTTCTTTATTATCATAATATGATACTAAACCAGCAGCATTGGCTGTTAAACCATGAGCTTTTGTTGTCAATGCTAATGTAAGAACATCTTCAATATTTTTCGGTGTAAATGCTGGTAAAAACATTTTAGTATGGAAAAAGTTTAATTTAGCTGAACAAACTGCTGTTAATAAAGATGCTAAGATTGTCGCTGTACGAATAGCAACATCCATTGAATATGACGCATCACCCATGACAGCTACGGGTGATGCTAATGGTAATTTTATTTTTGCAAGTTGACCTTCAGCAACTGATAATAAGTAAGAATAGCATTTATTTTTGCTCGATTGTACCGAATTTTGATCTTGAATATTGTCAACGGCTGCTGTTTCACTTGGAGTATCTCGTAATTTTCGAAGAAGTAACAGACGTTCCATAAGTTTACCATATGGTAAACTTATTTCTTCACCGTTTTCTAGTCTTTCACTGATAACATCATCAACGTCAGGACATTGTAAATCTTCGTAATACCATAAAATTGTATCTAATTTCTCTTCATACGCTGCTATTCTTGTTTTTGATTTATCATTTAAATGATCTTTAAATTGTTTTAAATGTGAATAAGGAATTTTAAATTCTTTAATTAGATCATTTACATTTTCGTTTGTTAAAGTTCGACAACGTGCTACCATTGTTTCTTCTGGTGCTGGTGTACCGAAGCAAAATGGTAAAAACCATGGTAAAGCAGGAAAATCTTTGCTTGGATTAAAATGAACAACATCAGCTAATTTTTTCCATGATTCTGTTGGCATATGCAGTGCAAAATATTCAAGTTCTTGTTGAGTTAATGTTCGAGTCCAGCGCTGAATATGTCGAGCTACAGCACCACTGACTGATCCAGTTGATGCTTTGAGTCTATTTAAGTTATCGATATTATTTTTCATTTTACCCAATGTTGTTGCTTTTGGTTTTTTTTTACTTAATTCAAGACGTTTTATTTGTTTTTCATAAGCACGAAGTTGTCGACCAGCATCTAACATCATTACTGCTTTCAGTACTTCAGTTAGAGTGAATAGTTGTCGATGACGTAAAAGATTATTAGCTAAAGTATGATCATGTCGGCACCAAGCAGCAGCCAATGCACATGCTTTAGCTTTCTGACCAATTTCAACACTGTTTTCATTAAGTGTGAATAACGCAGCTACATAACGAGGCAAGTTTGTCATTTGTGCTTGAATATGCTGATCTAGAGTAACCTTTGGGTCTACAAAAAATGGTTTTGGATCAGCATTGATATCAAGATCAGCTGAGAAATTGACTGATACTGTTTGTTGATCATCAACATCCATGGAGTCTGACCGTTCGTTTTGTAACCATCGACCACCAAAAGATTGACCACGGCCACGTACATAGCCACGACCACCTCTGCTACCAGGACCTCTTGCATATCTACGACCACCTCTACTACCAGGACCTCTTGCGTATCCACGACCACGACCACGTTCACGAACCACTACAATGAAAATTTTTATAAAAATTATATACAAATATACAATAATCTTTGGCTTACTTTTATTATATTAAATATAAATTTGATACCAGTGGCTCAACTGATTAAATTCACAGGAGTTGAGTGTCGAATTTATTCTTTTTCTTTAATAAAGTTTGTGAAATGGTTATCTGTTGTACGTTCGTGGTTTTTAAATGTAACGAAAGTAATTGCACAACGATTTTGTAATTATATGCAATGCTGACAAAATATTGATGCAATGCATACAGAAACAATTAGTAGTATGAAATGATGCGAAAGCATTTCATCAGCGATAATTGAAAAGTATCATAGACTTCCTCGGCCCTGTTTTCTAAGTAGTTGGTGCATAATTTTTCCCCTGTACAATATCACAGAGACATCTATGATACTCGTCATCGGTAGCGATCCTGATGACTTCAATAGAGTATATCTTACTTATTTTATTTATTTATTTTTATTCAGGAAAGTCAAGTCAGTGTAGAATATGCGCTAAAGACAGCCAATAAAGATACAAATGAGCGAATTAATTAGATTTTTGTCGTTGAGTTGCATAGTCGACGATTGTTCGCAGCCATAAACCTAATAGTTTGGAACACAAGAACGATATGCAAGCTAATGCATCCGGTTCACATTCATGTTGAGCTAAAATTGATTCGAGTCTTTCTAATTGATGATTATTAATACTGGTCTTATCAAAATTAAATAAACGTTCTAAAAAATCATTTTTGCCTCCTGATATTAATCTTTTATCGTCTGTCCAATCCCACACTTTTTTTGATGGATTAAGTAAAATACCACCATCTTCAAATATCGAAAGGCATGCTAATGGTGGCTTCGTATACGATTTCACTTCATTGAAATCTGGTATTGATATTTGACGAAGCGATTCCTCAATGCTAAAAATCATGTGTAAATTTTCAATATGCAAAGAAAGCATTGCAGACAATAGTTATAGGCTAAAGCCGTGAGAACTGAATTTTCATTTGTTGTAGCCGATACCATATATGTGTAAGGGTGTGGGTGTGGGTGTGGTGTGCATATTTCCTTCTGCACACTGTTAAGTACGTCACACCCGCACCCACAATAACCTCGACAACGTTGTAATATAATATAGTGACGAATATCTTCTATGATATTGTTAATAGTCATTGTAATAATAGAAAATTTGTACAATCATGTAATCCAATTTTGAGTTAGTTACGAGCAAAGTTCAAGGGCGACCAGAGGTCGATGACTCACGAGACTGAATGGAAGGTTTTTGCTAAAGTTGACCCAATGAGGGGTAAAAGGTCGAGCAGTTTTTTAGGGAATAGCTGAGCAAAAACAAAGGCAACAACGCTGAAGAAAAACGAAACAACGAAGCTTTTGCAACAGAAGAAGGACATCCTTGTTAAAATTACATAGAGGCTATTCCCATGTTATGTCATCAGAGTAATCTATAAATACTAGAATATTCGCTACAAGTGTTCTATGAGTGTGATTCTTCAGTTCACTCACATCTTCAAGAATTACCTCTGGTCCCTTTCCTATATTTGATTCTATACTTTTTGGCATTTTGAAATGTAATCCATTTTCAGAAAAAGACATACAAATATTGTTGAAACCGTCAATTGTTACTAATACACGTATCTCTTTTTTCATATCCTTTTTTAAACTGTTGTTGTATGTTATTCAGCGAAAATATGTTTAAATTGTTTGTTTAATTGTCTACTACAGAAAGTTAGTAAAGAACAGAAAAAAAATTCTGTCTTATTCTGCCTCGCTTTCTATTTAATCATCATTCGCTTCAATGTTAACACTTTACCATACAAAAAAATCTCAGGATTTCAGTTCTTTTTTTTACCTAAAAAAGAAATGATATCATAGAACTATTAATGATCTTATCATGATTTTAGATTCTTCCCATTCCTAGTGATGACGTAATATGCGAAGTCACATCCACAGCATTCACACCCCACACCCATAATTCCAATTAATACACGATGCAAAGAATCAATTTATTATGATAAGTTTTAAAATCTGAATTAAAACTCTGTAAGCGATTCAATCAGTTCAGCTAGTAGACTCTCGCATCTATTGATCTTAATATAAGTTTCTTACATTCATCAGACAGCGTTCATTTGTATTTGTACCATGGGAACCTGTTTGACACTTTCAATGCATTCGTTAATAATCGTCAAATTGATGTCACTCTTTTTCTGTACCAGATCTGCTACAAATCGTTCATGGTCAGCTTTAAGTTTTACAAGCTCTACATGTAATTTTGAATTGGCTTGGTGGTTCCGTGTATTGTCACAAATGTAATTCTCTTCATCGATCACTCGATTGAGATCAATCAAGAATGGATCATTTTTGGAAAAGTGAGCAACATGTATAAGGAAATAAACGAAGTTCACAGTTGCAGAAAAAATTTCTTTATCCCATGCAACCAACTGATCCTGTGTATAGTTCACATTATCAACTAACTTGTAATCAAGTTCATAGTCGACGCGGACGTGTTTCTTTCTATCACATGAACAATCTTCGCATGGAATTCGGTATTCGTGTAAAGAATCGCAGGTGATCCAAAAGGTGCCATATTGCCGAATGGGACTTTGGCATGAATAGCACATCGCTAAAGATTGCTGAAGAGATTTCGGACGTAGCTCGATAAATTTATATCCGGATCCTAATTTATATAAAACTTGACCACGAAGAATATTTCGCATTGCTTCCGTTATTGGACGGATCATTTGCATGATTTTTACTCGTGCAATTTCTGTTCTTTGTGATTCTTGATGAAAGAGATATGGAAAATCGCGTTGACTAACATACTGCACAAGTAGTTCTATTCCTTGCTTTGAAAATTTCCAGCTTTTTTCACATTCCGACTCTTGACTATTAAACCAACGTGACGTAGCTAAATGAAGAAAGAATGTACTGTCAAAGTAAAATATGCTCTTCAATTTTGAAGAGTTTTTATCAACATCCAGCGATTGCAAGAGCCCTTGAACTCGAGCCTTTCTTTCATTATCGTTCATTTGAATGGAAAGGCACTTGGTAAAACAAAAAACTAAATTGTTATACGCTTCTTGTCCCATAAAATCGAGCAATGGCTTCAAACACTGCTGATAGCCAGTGAGTTTCGAGTCATCCGATTTCATCAAAACACAGACAGCATTCAAATGCGTTAGATTCGAGATGTATGATATTATATGTTGTATCTTCATCTCATCGTCAGCCTGATCGCTTGTATCAGAAAAGCCAGGAGTATCGATAATACGTAACGTTCGTCCCTCTCCAATATTGAATGTATACAATCTGCAACGTTGAGTAATAGAATGACCACGATGATCATGATCTTCATTAGGATCGTTCTTGCCCAATCGAACAAAATGCTGCTCGTCATCAAACTTTATCGGGAATAATAATGAAACAACTATGCGTATGCCAGATTTATTCGCTTGAGCGTCTGCAAATGTTTTGAATTGGAGACAGTTGGCGATTGTGTTAATTAACATCGATTTACCAGCTCCTGATTTACCGACGAAAATGATATTAATCATTTGATTGACGGAAGATACAACTGAACGAGAGTTGGAATTTTTCGTCGTCGATACCAAAGAATCGCGGATGCCACCAGTTGCACTAAATTTTATTGAAGGAAACACTTTTATCATGTTTAACTTACATGAACAGTACGAAAAATCAACATAAACTAGCTTCAACTCAGGATTTTCTTTGCGTTCATTAAGTATTTGTGAAAACATCGCTTTGAATTGTGGTTGACTTGCCGCTTTTAAAATGTCATCCGAGCACAAGATACGTTGCTGTCGAATATCTTTGATTAGCTTCTTCTGAATGACTTCTTCACTGTCTCCTTGCTTAATACCATGTTTTTCTGCATTCCAATAATCAAAACCTTCCTTTTTTAAGTACTTGATAAAATCATGTTTCTCTTCCAAAGTTCTCACGTCATGTTTCAAACCTTCAATGCCGCGTTTCAACTTTGTTTCTTCTTCCTCAATTCGCAAACGTTGTTCGATAGTCTCTTGCGGCTCTTTTCCCTGACGAAAATGTGTAATCCAACTTTGGGCTTGTTTCTTTTGCTCTTCATATTGGTTCATTAATTCTGAGACTTTTCCACGTACCCTGGCTAACTGTTCCTTAAGATCAGTTTGCCAAATATCTGACTTTGTGTTGTTTTCAAATATTGTCCATATTTTAATGGAAGTTGAAAACCGATACCAGTAGTCTTCAATTCTTGTTGTGATTCTTGGTTCTATTGGAATAAATTTGGTGTTCTGTTGGTTACGCTCAGGACAAAAATTGCTGATAGGACTAAGAATATAGTTGCACGGCTGATGTTCAGTTGGAGTATTTTTGATTCTGCATATTTCTCGGTACACATCAGTTATTTTGGTCTGCTTGACTAAATGAGGCACATTCGAATAAACGTATGTAGGGATAATTCGAGTCAGTACATTTTCGGCTACCGTTAGCTGGGTCCCATACTTCAAGCAGTGGCGTATTTGATCAAGACCAGCATCGATAGCTTCCGATTCATCAGGCGGTAATGTCAATAGAACCACAACATCGATACCCCAATCCATTGCGGTGATGACGTGAGTGGCAGGAATTTTGCATGCTCCCTGTTTTTGAATGCTCTTCTCGTCAATTACGGCTTCTTTTCGAACCAAGTAAGAATAATAGAAGATACGAGTGCATTCATCGATTTCAAATGGATAATCGACGACCAAAGCAATACCCGTTGGTTTAACTAAATTGGATAACACACTCAATCGAAGGTCACCGGGACAATCAATGAGGCGAAGGATATTTCGATTTTCAAGCTTCTTGCCACTTTTTATTACACATTTTACTGGTGGATATGAATAATTTTCATTGGTAATCAACCTGATACTGGATGATTCTATAATACAATCTTGCCATCCGTCATAGAGATATCCTATACGATTAGAGGAATCGATTGCCTTGCGTAGAATTGTGTTCGAGGTTACATATTGAGCCAATGTAGTTGTTTTAAACTTCGTAGCAAGATTTTGAGTCAGTGCCATAGAAGAAGTCACTATCGATTTGAAGAAAGTACGATTAGAAAAAGTTATTAAATGGTCTGTATCTGGAGCCTTCTGGTTTATGGTCCATTGTTCCCCTTCGTATGCAATCCAGCTGCTTACACAAAGAATAAAATTCTTAGCATAGATAGAATCTGACCATTTTTTTGGTAATTCCTTATATCCATAGTAAGCACCAGCCAATTGACCGTAAATAGCTGCTGTTGTATCTGTATCATCACCCAAATTAACTGCATTAAGTGCACCTTTCTCGAAACAATTGTCATCAGTCCAAAATGCCCACAAGGCAGCTTCTAGAGCATTGATAATGTATCCTTTTCCTCGAATTCCATCTTTGTAGCCACCTACTTTTTGTTTATACGATCCTCGAACAATCGTCATGACTTCAGAATGAAGAGTTCGACCACCAAACCATTCCAAATGATTATCGTAAAAGTTTTCACTGAGCAATTCCTCTTTCTTTGTACCATTAAGGGTAGCTATGATGAGAGCTCCATAGTAAGAACAAGCATCATAAACTTTGTCATCTCCATGAGTAATTTTACCACTTATGCCCGAATATTCGACAGCAATTACCGGATCTCGAAAGAAGAAGATTGGTACAGGTACGAGACGCATCAGAGCTCCGTTTCCAGCCACACCACTTTGACTACATTCTACATTGAATGCTTCAATAAGATCGCGATCAGACAAAAAGTCTATTTGATCTAAAGGAATATTATGTTTCTGTGAAAAATTTTTTTGACGTTTTTCAAATTCTACAATGGAATCTTTAGTTGCCGCCCCAATGTCGAAACAATGACCAGTCGATGACATGTAACCATGTCGATACCACCATTTATACCGGACTAATTGATCATATGCAACAAAGTCTTGACGAGCAATAAGCGAAATCGCCAAACAAAGTGCCATCGACGTATCATCGGTGAACTACAAAAGTAAAGTGCTTTACACTTTCTATTATTCAAGATCCTACTTGTCCTCTTGCTAAACCCCATGTTCCTCCTCCTACTAGGTCCTTCACTGGATTATCAACCAAATAATCATGAGGTCTGAACTCAACATGAGCACCTAGAGCATCACCTACAGCCAAACCAAACAATGAACCTTGAATACGATCCACAACAACATCGTTGATGTTCAATAGTGGAGCGTAGTCTTTCTCGGTGATTCCAAATTCATCAGGTTTCTTAATAGACGTTTCGTTGGCATCATGAAACTGGCATTTGAACCAAGGCTTCTCTAAAATGATAAAAGCACTGTTATTTTCGAATAGTTAAGAAAACTGATTGAATCCAATTTCTCAAATAAATGTGTCAACCACAAGGGCAATTTTTCATAGGACAAGGAAACCATCAACACTTGCTTTTATTTTCTTTTGGTGCGTAAGACTTTGTTGTTGACATTTCTTTATCTACAAATAAATGAAGACATAGATTTTCCGAAGCAATTTCTATTAAACACGAACATGCGATTAAACCGTTCAAATGTAAGGAAAAAGGAGGTATACACTTGCATTTGAATAAAAGTCTCCTCTTTCTTGTAATATTATGTATAACTTCCTGGAAATGGGACACGACGAACATAAAGGTTGTTCTGACTCCTGTAGCATATATTCATTGATTTTATTCGCATATTCAGCTCATACAGATTGAGGGATTTCAAATGGCTTTTCTCGAATGGATCGTTCAATTTCATGACAAACTAATCGTTTATTTTAGATGAGTGAACTAACGGCTATTCATTATTTTACGTGCTAAAATATCAAAATGATATTCGTTAAATATTTTATCTGTTGTTGCTGGAAGTTTAGATGCGATTAAGATAGAATCAAATGAAAAAATTGACTTCTAAATCCCATACCTGCCAAGCGCTAGTTTTCACTTCAAAAAGACATAGACAACTTCCTCTCTTAAAACAATATTTATGGTCAAAACTGTTTCAATAAAACAGCTTACAATGACAGCTACATACTGCAGCAACTCCTTTTTCTATAGTCAATCAAAACAACCAGATTTTCTCCCATAAACAACATATAATAACTGTCGTAAGTCTGTCACAAAATGGCAACAGCTCTTTTAAACAAAGTCTACTATTGTCATATTACTCACATTTCAAGCTTATTCATCTTTTTGTAGATCATATGTCGAATATTAGTTTCTTGCATATATATTATCATTTATTACCTACCACTGTCAGCAAAGAAAAATAAATCAAGAAACTTCTAAACGCACCACTTTGGCTTATGTCGACTATATACTTTTTCACTCGAAAATGAATTTCTTTTTGGCCATTAAATTCTTTTCTGCTGTTGCTGCCTCTGAATATTTGCTTTTTACCTTTTCTTGCTTTCTTTTCACATTTTTCTCTCTTACGAATCTACAAGCTGTTTGCAAGAAATCCCCATAATAAGAAAAAAATATTCGATGAAGAAGCAAAATATCGAAATACATTGAAATACAAAACCACGTGATCAAATAGCATACAAACTGATTTCATAGACTATTCAGACACTTTTTCACAAACAATTGGTGAGTGGAGTTTTTTTTCGTGCACCAAATACAACAGCAGACGAAGTGTTCTGTATGCCAACTTTCAAATGTGCAGTATATGGCATCCATACTTTTGTGTTGTTGATACTTCAATCAAAACGGTAGCCAGCGAGCAATATGAGTGAGAGGTGTGAGTGTAGATGTCGATGTAAATGCAACAAAGTCACCCACATCCAACAGCAAATCTCATTAGATCACGAAAGCTACATAGGATTTCTTAAAGATCATGGAATGAACAACTCTTAATTAGTAAATCGCTCTGTCGCTAATGAAAGCTTTGAAATAAGACTGAGAATTTTCTTTTTTTGAGCATTTGTACTTTAACATTCATGAAAATTTAGTGTTGTGCGAACAATTACTGAATCAGTATGATAAAGAAACTTTTACAATATCAATGTAATTTACAAAAGAATAATTCTTAACCAAATTAGTTAAAATCGAAAATACTCGTTATGGGTCGATTATAAATCTGCCAGTTTAAGTTACATGAAACAGATTAATTCAATAATTCATCAAAGATAACGAACGAGAGAAAACGTTTTCACACTCATTTCTTTGTCGCTTGAGTTTTTTTTTTTGAATTTTCTTTACGTTCGCTCCTGATTGTTTAGTTTCTTCTGCACATTTATTTGCAGTCTTATCATCTAATAATATTATATAGAATCAGTGCAATTTCTACTGTTCAAATACGTTAACAACCTACTATCATCTAAGAAATAATGTTAATAATAAAATAATGAAGATTGTTCGACAGGATTTGGTTTCGTACTTTTTTTTCGTATATAAGGCAAGTCTTTTCAGTGTCTTGACAATATCTGCATAACTTTAAGAACATTTTTCAAAGATTATTACAAGTTACATCTAATCGGTCCTACATACTGGTAAGTCCCTTGTTGAGGTTGATTGAAAGCATTTTTTAAGAGTTATAAATAATGATATGAAACTCGAATTTTTTTTAATTGAAAGAAATAGACACAAAACTACATTATCAACTATTTTTTCTACCAAATTCACAAACAAAAGGTTGGATATAGAATTTAAGAAAAATAACAAATGATTACAACAAACCCGAATCGACATATTCTCTTTACTTTACCATGTGAAATAATATACTCAACTTCACTCGAAAAGTAAAGCAAAATATTTGAATTAAAACTTTTCGTCATTTTCTATACTAAGCATACATTCACTCACATCTTTGTGTAGTGGATTATTTTCATATAAAAACGAAGAAAAATCTTCACAAGTAAGTATTCGAACTATATACAACTAAGAAAAAAGTGAGTCGAATGATCAGCGTAAATGTCAATTCAAATTTAATATTTTTTTTTTTTGTTGAACATTGTTTGGAATTCAATTTTATAATTGCCGACGGTTAGTTTTTTTGCTGTTGTTCCTGAGACGATAAATCTTTTTTAGAGTGGATAGTATCAATATCCGTCTCTATTTGATTGTCATTTGACTTCTTTCGTTGCAAAAAAGGAATAGCATATAGGATGACACCGCTGAGAACAGTAAGACCACCACAAATAATATGAGACCAGATAAAAGGTCGAGCAAAACGCATCACGCATTGCTCCTAAAAATAATAAATTTTTAAACAAATGTAAAAACTAACCGAAACATAAAAATCAATGCTCACCAACAATTGGTGTTTCAATAGCAGTAAAAGCCAAAAAAAGACGCATAGCCTATATGAGTAATAGCAGAAGAGCCACACAATGGAGCCACTATAGTAGCAACGCCGGAAATGATCACTGGTAAAATGAAGAAAAGTCGGTTAACCTATCGAAAAAAAACCGATTTTGGTAAATAAAATATTTCCTATCGAAACATTTACTTACCCATTTTTGATCACCTAAATAACCAATAATAAGACGACCGAATATATTCGATAAACCAATTGACATAACAATATATGTTCGTTGATCTTTTATGACTTTTGAATCATTTGCGAGATCACCAGCAAAATTATAAACTGCATTGAAACCGAGACTTGTCAAAAAAACTCGATATAGCAAATAGTGTAAATGCGATATTTTGAGTAGATTGAGATCAATTTGTTCAATTAATTGATCGAGAAAAGATTTGGTTGATGATTTCTCACTGGTGATATCGGGTAACATTGATTCGACTAATCTCAAAAAAGGGATTCGATGAAACTATATTAATATATGCAAAAAGAAAATTCTATGAATAAGTTTACCATAGGTACCATTATTGTTCGCTGTTGTGGACCCATTCTGCATAGTTAAAAGTTTAGCAATTTGGTTTTGTTTCGCTTCTTTACGTATTTTTCTTCTAGTCGTCGTTGCTCGCTAGGTTCTTGCGGTAGAGGAACCTAGTCAGAATAGATATTTATCGTCTTGCAAAATAATTGGAGGACTTTTTAAAAAAAAAAACCTGGCATTAATTCCTCGTTCTTATATTTTTGATATTTTCTCGAAGAATAGAAACATAATAAATAATTCAATGTTTTCATTTATCGGGGTCTGGAATGAGAAAAGTTAGGCTCTTCTCAATTGCTTGTTCATTGATATATAAAGAAATATAATATCTTCTTTAAGAATGTATCTAATCCTAATTTCTTTACTTGTTACAATCAGAATCGTATTTGGATTAACCAATTGTTTTGGGGGACCGCCTATTTCTAGTCGAGTTACATCTTTATCATCTTATACTTTCCAATTGATATCGCTAGATCTATGTTTTCTTGTGCCTTTTACAATTGAGAATGATAAACACAGAAAAATTCATTACCATCAAGGAACCACATAAAAGACCAAACAAGACGATACCGGCTTCGACGAGCAATGCATTTGTATAGCTGACCCACGAGCGTATATTGACCATTTCATTCATAATATAGGAAAGTACAAATGTACCCACGCCTGAACCACATACAGCGATACCCATAGCAAATGCACGTTTTTGTTCGAAATACAATCCAACAGAGACAATGGCTGGCAAGTACATTAATGCAAAATCAATGCCTAAAAATATCAGCATATAAATGAAATGAAAAAAAAAGAGACGATTAATATATAGATGCAACCGACTATATTACTGGATTTTATCTAATTAGGAAAGAGCATACCTCCGATTACACCAATAGTAATATAATAAAACCAGATATTGACCCATAGTCGACTGAGAAAAAAACCAAAAGAGGCGATGCAAGTTCCCGCTATAGCTACTGTACGACAACTGTACATATTAGTGAAAACAGTTGCGATTGGCCCTAAAATATCAAAATATACATGTTAAAAGATAATATTCAATTCAGAGTACTAGTAGCTTACCTGCACCGAGTGTGACAGCTGGTAAAATGCCGAATACACTTGACACCAAAGCTCGATTGAAAGAAAGCTCCTTCATCATAGGTTCTAAGAACACTTAGCATATCGAATACATTATCCTTTTTTATTTAAATGAAACTGAAGAATATATGAGAAAAAAATCGCTTACCCGTCCATAACGAAATGGATCATGAATGATGAAAAGACAATAAACCATCCCCATCCAACATCAGGCACGATCGATTCTTCAACTGGAACTATTTTCTTATCGGTGTTGGTCATTTCTGTCTTTTTTTGTTCGATTATTCACTTCTGAAACAGCAATCACAACAACTCTTATTTATATGGCAGAGCTTCAAATGAGATGATAAAATTCAATTCCATCTCACATGATGGAATGGAATAATTTTCTAGTCCCATGAGATCTATTTTTTTATCATGAATAATTTCAAGTTTTCTTTCATCGAAATATTGTTTCAATAAAGATTCTATAGGAATACTAAGTAATAAAATTTATTAAATCCTCATTCTTGGTATGGTTTAGAGTGAAATAATGATACATGGCACATTCTACTGAATTCCAAGTATTATAGATTTCAACAGAGTCCACAAATATCTAAAGAAGAGAATTAATTTAACTTTGTTTTTTCTTTCACAATTAAGACGCTATAGTATAACGAAAAAAATTACGCGATTTCCTTAGATCAATAATGCGATAAAAGATTCTAGAAAATGTTTCAAGTTATAAAGAATAGAATATTCTGATGTAAATAAATGATACGCTCAGTTTTTTTCCGCTTAATTTAAACAATATTGTCAGTTAGGTCTTACTTTTTATATCACACACGTAACGTGATAAAAAACAGAGAAACGTCTCGTCAAATATTTCAATAGCGACTATCCAATGTATCTTCTATATAATAACTTTCAGTACACTTTTCATTGTTATCAACTGTTAATACAAGTAACTCGTCAGCAGAAGAGATATTGATTACGATAGACTTAAAACATATGCCTACAAAAAACGTTTTCAAGCAAGGAACTATACTATTATAAAATGAGATGAGTCGATGTGATGGGAAGACTGGTGTTCATATTTCTCTCTCACGAGACACGATTAAGGATGATGAAATGATGCACAGTGTGCATTGGGATGATGAAATCATTTTTTTACGCTAGTTAGTCTATTATCACAGTGCGATGAATCGTAGAGTTGACTACATGATGCAAATTCATCTATGCACTTAGAATGAAACTTATTTTCAAAAGCTTACATTTTTCATTAAATTCATTCTATTTCTAATGATAGTGTTTCGCGTATCAGATCGTTCTGATGGATCCGATTAACGAAGCTTATCTGACGACATCTTGCAATTCTAACTACTTCGATACTTGCATTGTAACGACATTTTGTACGTGAAACTCATTTTAGATAAAACTAAAATATATAGTTTTGTAGAACACCTGTTTTAAACTATTTCTATTATATTTTTTTCTGATGTTACCATATTAAACCAGATGTTGTTACTGGTAGTGCATAATGTAGTCAATTGGGGATTCTAGTTACATTTTTTTCGTCAGATAGCACATTAGTTGTTTTCCATCCTTGAGATGATATATCTTGTAGGTCATTAGTGCCTTTTTTCTTTCATTTCTTTTGTTCTTTTCCTACTCTCAACAAATAATGAGCTATTGTCAATAAGAAACATATTGTATATAACAAAGTTTGTACACTATTTAATCATTAAAAAAATATGAGATCGTTTTCTATGCATTTACAAATTTGTAAATTCAAAAATGCTCGAAAATGTGCAAATATACGTTCTTGTGGCTGAAATGAATCATCAATTACGCTTTGTAAATGTTTTCTTCTTTGTTCTATATTGTTCATTCATTTCCTATCGTTGTATTCATGAGTCACATCCATATATGGGCTCATAGAATGAAGTGGCAACAGAAACATGAATCATTGTCTCTAGGCACTTTTATGTGGCGACATTGGAAGTTTTAGAAATGATATTCAAGACAAATACTTGTACATCATATAAGAGAGGGTACCTTTCAAATAGAAATTTTTAAATTTATTTAAAACCTATAAATCGGCATTGGATTTATTGTAAGACGAAGAAGCCATTCATTCATAGTATGGTATTGATTTACTTCAATCAAAGGCACAACAAATGTCGTGTCAGCTGATTTGAGGATAATCTTATTTCTTATGAGCATGATATCATTGAAATATTCAAATATTAAGCTCTATGGGTGCGAGAGTGGATGAAGAGAAGAATTAAACCTCTAACGATACTCACACTCTATATCTACCCTAGACACACATACACCTTGTTTTTGAAGAAAATGTGTCTCTATTTTGATACTTTGAAATACATGAATTAAAAATTTTCAAGGCAGTCAATCAATGAAAAAAGTTTCCTAGCTAACGTCTAAGCGATTGTAATTTGAAATGTTCGAATTTGCATCGGATTGAGAGTAATCGTCGTCACTTTCGATGATTGTTGCTCTAAAAAGTAATTGAGATATCGACTATATCATTCGAGATACTTTTCAATGAAATTCAACTTACGAAACATATTGACATATGATGATTCTTCGTCTTTTGTCATCCAATCGAGTCGATGTAGTTCGGACAGTGGCAAATTCGCGCTCAGTATTAATTCAATCATTTCAGCAATAGTACCAATGCTTTTAAATAATGTTTGCAGATCGATCGTCACCGGTTGTGAGTAGATTTCATCTTCGTTCAATTCAAAATAATGCTCAACACGTACAAGATATTGTTTAGGACTTAATTGATCGAATGTTAATAGGTGTACATTCAATGGCATTGCATCCGAAATAGCCGACCAACTTTGACGATAAATATTCGAATAGTTAGCATAAGATGATGTATTTGACAATGAATAGGTCGCCAGAGGATGCATAAACAATTGTTGAGCACCAATTCGATGTAGTCGAGCACTATCTGTTGGTCGTTCCACAAGAAGAATATGTTTACCAGAAACAACAAGACCTTTGCCATAGGCAGTCTCATTTAAAGCTTCACCAACACCCAGTGAATCATCATGTAGTATTCGACGATGAACCATAATTTCGATGGAACCATCATACATACTACCACCACCTTCGGATCGATCTATAGAACATTGAGAACAAAATTATTTTCGATAACGAAAACAATTCATTTAAAAAAAAAACTATCTTACCGGTAAGGATAGTCAATTGACGAGCACGATCTCGAATCCATATTCGACTATTAATCGGATAATAATTACCACTAATTCGTTCATCAACAAAATAAGGCCATGTTGGTCGATGATTACGAATACGTTCAAGAACTTCACGTCCATTAGCATCAGTATAATATTTCGATGCACTCTCAATATTGGTATTATAACGAATAATAATCTCTTTGCCTATATTATCATCGATTGGAATTGGTCCAACTGTCCATTCGAGTTCAATCTCTGATTTTCCACGGAAGAGACTAATCTCTTGACTAACCCATTCATTAAAAATAATCGATGCTTTTTGTACGATATCTGTTTTTGTACAATTTCTATCGTTATTTTTATCAATAAAATATATGATCAATAAAATTTATTGAAAAGACTCACTCACATTTTACGTGAAAGACTGACAGGTACTGCCTCGGAAATAAACGGTCGGAATATATAAGCACCTGATGGTGGAAATTCTGGAGTAGTAGGATCGCCAGAAAAACCTTGAACAAAAAGTTTAAGATAAATCTTAACAATCCTGAATAAGTCTTAATCAAAAACATGAGCAAATGAACTTCATCGAAATACTTTATTTTTTAAATTTTCTTATTTTAGTCGAATTCATTATGAAATAATACTTACTGGCATACCAGTAGAAGCCCTGATTAGTAAACGATACTATTAAATCCTTATCCAAATTGACAATATGTTTCAAGTCACCTTGATCATCGAATTCCACGCGCAAATGCTAGAAATAATGAACAGTCCGTTGTTATTGGCATACGAAACTCATGTCCTACTTCATTTTGAAGAACACATGCTTGGTTTTGCATTGTTATCACTTTCTTGTGCTCGATTTTCTTCGCATCAGCTATTACAAATAAACCAAACATCTAGATAGTTTCCGAGTCAAACCATCAAAGTCAAGTTTTCTTTTACTGAAATCTGATCCATCAGTTCTGGTAAACACTCAAGCCTCTCTATTTATAAATAGACTCGAAGAAAATTTTTCAATTTTACTTTGAAATATATTATCACTTCATCCACTCTTTTTATATAAGCAAAATAACTGGAACTCTTTCTGAGTATACCTGTTGCTTCAAAATAATAGGTATTGTAGCCAAGCGCTGGCAATGATGCTTGAAATAGATACTGATACTGAGCAGAACTCGTTCGGCCAGGAATATTTTTTGTAGTGTCCGAAATTGGAAGATACTGTAAGAAAGAAAGACCGCGGGTTTTTTTCATCATATATTGTTTATTCTTTACCTCAGCTGGAACAAGATTTCCTATCGGATCACGAATTAAATATTCTCGAGTGACAGGTACCCGAGGATGAATTGTTACCGGATGAATAGTTGGATTCCAGAGTGTCAACGTGAACTACAAAGAGAATTGAGACAGTCCCATATGTCTTGTCGGAAAATAAAATTATCTCAAAAATTAGATTATAGCCGATTGTAATCATTTTTGAGTTGATAATTTATACGAGTTATACGCGACAATTTTACATACTTGATCTTGTCCCTCAATCGGCAGACATTCACTAATGTTCGCGTATGGACAGAGAAATTGACGGGCGATCACTGATGTTTGACTTTCTTTGGGCAATAGTTTCGCATATGCATCATTGATCACTTCCTAAAGAATATTCATATCATAGCATCGATTGTGTATCAAAAGACATACCACTGCTCGGTCGATACCATCAGACAATCGTTGAGCATAATCATTGGCTACATGTTGTTTCTCTGTTCCACTAATTGCATCATGATGTTGGACAATGCCCATTGCTTCACCTGTGCATCATACAAGAATTATTCGATAGATTCAATGAACGACATGTTTTTCTTTTACTTAGATCAAAAATGTTATTGCGAAGATTGGTCTGTGAAAATCCGTTGAGTTGACGAGTTACTTGAAGAATATTGTTTGTATAACGTTCATAACGTTTTAATGCTGGTCTTGAAGTAAAATAGCCGGTCCAGTATGTAAATGGAATACTGGCATATGGAAAGAAATCATCGCTTTTCGATATCCATTTTTTTTCGGCTTTATTCAAGGCATATAAATAGCATGATGGTGTTGAATAAAAGACATTGACATTGCTACCATTCTCTTGCTAATGATATGATTACTAGTGAAGTCAATCAAACATGTAAAAATGACATACCTCAATGTTAACATAATGGATTAATTTATCTAAATTTCGGAAGTTCTCATTGGCATTTTGATATTGAAAATCATCGCCCATTGTCATAATAATATGATTGCTTGCATAGAAGTGAGCCTACAAAGGACAAAAACAAAATTTGAAAGAAAGTTGCCTATTAAGAAATTTTTTTTGGAGAAAACCTGAAAGTGTGCCGCTGTGATGAATGCTTGAACACGTTCTGGCACATTGTAATCATGTAAATCTTTATCATCCTAGAATCATTCTATTCATACAGACTATAGAGGATGGATAAACACTGACACACCACAATCGGTGGATCTGCACAATCCAAATCAAAACAAAATGTGTCCGGCGCATTGTATTGATGTGGCAGGACACTCGTGAAGAGCCAACTCTGACGATCTACAAACATTTGAATGTGATGAAAATTCGTTGTAGATTGACATTTTCAAGAAGACATCCGATTGGATTGAAATACTCGAAAAGACACTAACCTAAGTTAGCACTTGCTTTCCAGACCATTTCCAAGTTCTTTTCCAAAGTCCGAGGTATCCGATCTTGATAGTCAATACGTCCAAATAATAGACCATCAAAGCCCATCTACAGAGAAACGATATCTGTATCAAACATGAGTTTTTCAAACAAATGGAACCTGTGCAAAAAGTGAAGCAACTTCTCGTGAATGACCAAATGGATCGATTTGCCAGCCAATTTTTGGTCGAGCGCACTCGCCGAATGTATCACGCAAGAATTCAGCACCTAAACTATGTTGATCAATAATCGAATTGTAGTGTGTTGTTGCTTCATCATGCATAGTCCAACCACCGGAGATAAATTCCAGACGGCCTATACAGACTTAGATACATGATTAGAATAAAACAAAAAAAAACAAATGATTGCATATTGATAAGTAAACGAATGTTCATGCGTAGTGAATAGTGTTCTTTTCTTGAATATGCTCTTCGATTTTGAAAAAAAAGTTGTGGACTAATTCAAATTCGATTGATACGAACCTTCATTGACAAGCTGCTTGACGGTGTTACGCATGTCGTCCGATTGTTCATTCCACCAACGCCAAAAGAAAGCCATTTCGACATAGATAAACCGACGATCAGGGTTGTCAACTAATGCCTGCACAACTGAGTCGAGAATATATTGAACACCTCGATTAACTATTTCACTACGTGCTAAATGATCAATTCATCAAACTATTCATTTTTATTATGTTAACTAAATCCTTACTCACATCCATAGTAATACTGGTCGACTGTTTTTAGCCAGCCAACGTCATCGTGTGTGTGAGGTACAATATGAACATTGAGTTTATTAGGTTTGCCCAAATTGCATGACTAAAATATAATTATGCAAATACATACCCTACACGGGCGCATATTTTCTTACATCATAACCACAAGTATTTGGTAACTTGTACGGTGCTGTAAGACATTCGTTCACAAGGAAAAGAAGCAATATGCAAGACTTTATCATGTACACGATCTATAAATACAAGTCATATCATCGTAATAGAAGTGAAAGTGGTAAACATATTTCTTTCAGATGGACGATTCTGCCTAAAGAATACCAGGTGCATGCGTGTGTGAGTTTGAAACAGAAAGATAAGAATGTTGTTTATCAAGGGCCCATCCTTTTTACTCAAATTTAGGCGAGCAATAATGATAAGAGATATTCTTCTCCGATTGTATCATCACCCCTGTTTTAATGTTGCTAATGTGATAAGATAGACAAAACTATATTCCTTTTTTTGTGTGAAATCTTTTTGTTTCGTGATTGAAGAATTCTATAATATTCATTTTCTCGACAAATCATCGGCTACTTAGTAATACTTATCCAAGTGTGACGCAAGAATCGACTTAATCTATCTCCTATGGAGGAATTTGTTTTTCAAATAATACCTGCTCCAAGTCAGGAGCAAATCTTGTTCGACCAACTTCTGAATATGTGATTTCTGAGGTAGGTCAGGTGGAAAGAAGTGCAGCCGAGTGGAAATATTTTTCAGACATGTAGCTTTATTTTGGTATAAAAATTAGATCTAGTTTTTGAGGATGTGAATGTTGTGAAGAGAAGAATCTCACGCAGACTAACACTCACTTAAAGTGACAGGAGAATCAGAATCTAGCAAGATGAATGAACGAGAATTTCTTCTAATTGGATGTGACGTATATATTTAATAACCGGTTGACGAAGTGGCTTCATTTGATTTTCAAGTTCTTGTTGATTAATCTTATCGATAAGGTAGAGTAATCAAATATTTTCATTGTACAATCTGCAAAGTTCATGCAATGCAACAACTGTTTAACCGTTATACTTTACGAATTGAGTTTTCAACAACTCATTGACAAAGAAAACGAGTGACGAAAGCTTGACTGGGTTGTTGCATTAATGACATTGAATGCATCCAGCAATGCGTTTTTAGAACATACTACTCAAGACTTTCCATGTAAAAACAATTACAATAAAATCAAATAAAATCGTATGCTTTTAATCGATTTTTAATCATTTTGTAACCGCTTGTAATCGCTTCAAACTCGATGAAAAATATTGATTATAATTGATGTAATCGAAAATAAATTGGTTAAAGTTTTTTTTCATTTATCACGAAAAAAACCAATTGCAATTGATGTTGTTCTCACAATTTTTAATCGATTATAATCGAAAATAATCAGAAAAATCAATGAAACTTTGATTTTTTTTTCGGTTGTTATTGATTATTATCATTTTTAATTTATGAAAAACTCATTATTACTCTATTTTTTACATAGATTAAGCCTGATCCAAAGTATTAGTTATATTCATGCCTTAAATAATATACGCTTACATCAGACATCAACGATCTACCATTCGCTTTATCATTCTAAATAATGTAGAAAACATTTTTCTTTGTTTTTAGTTTGTAAGAAAACTGTAGTTGCATCGTCGTTTCTTCTTCCTCTTGTTGCCTGAATTTCATAATTCCTTCGTGTCTCTTCTCACGTTTCTCGATATAATAATGAGAAAGAATGAGAACAGCAGAACAATCTAATTGCTAATCGAAGTAGTCATGGACATATAAGAACCAACTGAAAATAACTTGATACAGTTATTTGGTGCTGAAATAAAATATACGTGAGTATACTAATAGGAAGCGTTATTCAAATTTTCTAACAACATATATTGAAAATAATTACCATTTTAGAGAATAAGAAGTAGAATACAGTAGTTTCAGTTTTTAAAAATCTATTCTCAGCTGCTCACATTTTGAAGATTATGATTGGTCATAAAATGAAAAATATATTGCGTTACAGGTGCATTCGCACTCTGGTGTTGGTGTAGTTCTTCTCTCAACACACATGAACATACCCTCACTCTGTTAGCTATTCATTCTCCTTCGGTTTCCTTTTTTTCTTCGTCGTCGTTTTGTATGACTTCTTGTTAATTATTCTCCTCCGAATGCATGCTTTTTCATTCCGAACACTAGCAGAGTTGTTGCTATTCACTATCCTTGTAATGAAGAAATGATCTATGAGTCGATTGAACATTGTCATACTCTGAAAAACTACTATAGGCTTTGTGTCATTGAAAATAAAAGAACGTTTGAAGACAGATATATAACTTATATAATGATACGTGAAAGAAATATTGACGAAGGGTATTTCGACCGTGCAATATTTCCTAGACATCAGTCTAGGGCCTAGAACGTTAAATTAGAACCAAAAAGCTATTAGCATAATTCCTACGAGATTAAAGTGTGAAACGTGGTGCAGCTGTTCTTCCAAACCACAGGAAGATTGTTTTAGTCTATCTTTCTTCCGACACATTTCTAAACTATGCTTTTACTTATTCTTTCAGCACCCGAGTTAGAAAGCAATTCATATATTATGATTCGTATGAAGTAAGTTGATATACAACTTTTGAGGACATATCAGCAATATCTTGCACATTCGGTCGCTGAGCTTCAGGGTGTCTGTCATAGTCTGTGGAAAGGGTGGAAGCGGGTTTTAATTTCTCCATTTTATACTTCAACATTCCTTTCATTAATTACTAAACAATCACTTTTGTTAGGGTCATTAATTAGCAGCTAATTATCAACTGATCAGTAATTAGTTAAAATTTCTTGGGTTCTCTGACTCATCATTACTGTGGTGTAAACGAATTCAAATTGTGCATTACTTCTGAATTTAGAATTTTATCTTTAATTTTAAAGGTTTCATAATTTTTCTTGCGTTTCGAAAATTGACTTCTTTTCCTTCAGATTTTGGATTTTCAATGAATTTGAATTGTGAAAGGACAAAATCGTCAATTATTAAGTCTAGAGCTAAGTGAATCGATATACTAATTATAAATTTTAAAAGTCATAAAATATATAAACAATTGATTATATCACTATCTATTAAAATAACTGACAGAATATCGAATGACACGTGAGCGAGTGCGAACCAGTGTAGTATCTGAGAAAAAAAGTTGAAAATACTAGCGAAGAGCCAACCATAGCTTTTTGTCAGTTTTTCTTTCTATTGAGAAAAAAGTTCTCTCACATAAAGTTTCTCGTTCAAGATTGTAACTCAAAATATGATTACAGTTGATTAGGAAAAAAGAAGTGAATTGAATTACATATGATGTAAAATTTGAAAAATAATCTTCAGCAGTCATTGTTTGTGCTTTCTTGAAGGCTGTCTTAATGTCTGGAGAACAAATGTATGACGGATTTATGAACCCGTTCGAAAGAAAAAAAATATGATTTACTAGAATTCATTCCTTTGAATTGTAATTGACGACTCATCAATATCTCTCTATGACTGGGTATGTGTCCGCTGTCACCCATCTCAAAGTGTCTGAAGCAATTGACATACTCACAACTTTCTCTCGCGACCATGGTTTGTTGTAACGAGAAAATGCACATGTGATTGAAGGTTATTGTAATTTTTTTTCTCGTACGTTTGAGTAGCTTTCCGCGCAAGAAGCGTTTTGCTTGTTCTTTTTTCTTCGCCTTCAAGGACAAGTACTTTTTTCTTCTGTTCTTTACTACTTCAGTATGTTGCATACATAACCAATTCATTTATAATTTCACGATGCAACCAACATTAAGAGCGCAAGGACATGTTTTCTTCTTAGTATTTACTTTGGTATCTACTATCCAAGCCCAACAGTATCAATGCTCGTGTTCATGTTGTAAGGGACAAAACTGTCAAGCTGTTCTGACTGGCTATACATATGCTTTCTATTGCACAACGGGCAGTTGTCTTCAAGCATGCAGTAGCACATACTTTCAATGTCGATTTATTCCACCTTATGGACAAGTCAACTCACAGTGTTTGGCTGCTACAACTCTCGTACCTTCAGGTGGTTCATACAGTTGTCAATGCAACTGTTGCAATACAGGAAGTAGTTCTTGTGCACCTATTTTAATTGGCTACACGACTGCTTATGGATGTGACTCAGGATCATGCAGCATTGCATGTGCCACTCAATTTCCATCTGCATGTGTTTCGAACCAAAATGGACAAACACAAGGTACATGTTTAGGACTTACAACTGCAAGCACCACTACGGTTGCTCCATGGCTTGGTAATGGCTGTTCGTGCTACTGCTGTCAATCGAACCAGAAATGCTTACCCATCATTAATGTGGGTAACGCCTCTGCGTCGCAATGTTCCACACTCGCGTGTACACAAGCATGTCAAAATACATATTCCACCTTATGTCCATCTTCATTGTATATGGGGCAAACTCTAGGTCAATGCACGAATCTTATAACAGGAAATAATCAATGTCGCTGCTTCTGTTGTGGTACCAATGGATGTCTGAATTATAATGTATACACTAATGGAGATTGCACATCATGTCCTTCTATGTGTCTGCAGTATACACAGTGTGTTAATCCTTATCGAGCTACCCAATCGTGTTACACTAATTCAACTGCAGTTCGACAAGTCCCATTTGGCCGTCTGAAAACGGTTATTATTCCATTACTATTCTCACTCTTTCCGACTGTGTGAACAACGTAGCTCTTTCATCACAGAAGTGACAGAAATTATGCACGTTAATACAGAATCACTATTTATTTGATGACATGTAGATGTATTATAGTTTATTAATTGGTTTTGTAAAGGTTTAAAGCTTGTAATTATCTGAATAATGCACTTTTAATAATATATTTCGACTCAAAAGTGTTTGATGCTTAATAGTGTGTTTGACATGATATTCAGGAATATTGGCACATAGTGAGAGCATAAGAGTGATTTAGTATGCAGAATA